ATCACCCAAGGTCCGGCTTTTCAATATCTATCTCGTTTTTATTATTTCTAGTTTCCCTAGAACTCGTAATATTATACACTGGGGCTTCACTGTTTTCCTGCCAAAACCCAAACCACTAACTTTCCTAGTTTTAAAGTCCAACTGCTCCCCCCCACTGGTTTCCAGTGCTTCCACCCCCACCTGAAAGTAACCCCTCCTACATACATGTCTTTCTGCCATAGAAGAGGGCCCTTGTCAATGAAGTTACCGCTTTTCCTTACGTATTTTTCCACGCAAATTTCACCAAATTGCCCTGGGCAACCCTTACTTCCAATCCCCCCCCCTTGGGAAAATACCACATATGAAGGGTTCCCCCCCTTTCCAATTATTTCTATTGTGACCAAAAACCCGCTATCAGGTCCTCCTCCTACGTCTGCCAACATCGTTGCCTCCAGCACTGAGACAATAAAAGGTTGCTCCCATTACCCCTTAAAAGTCATCCAGACGGCAAAAAATATCCCCCCTCCCAGCCCCCGGAAAGCAAACCCCCCTGTCTCCACTCCTGTCCTTCAAGCAGACGCCCTATCCATAACCTAACTTGGGTATCCCCCAAAAACAACAATATTTTTACCTTTCCCTTTAAAGTCTTCGTCGTGTCGTTCCCAGTAGTCAAATCACATTCGTCGGGGACAAGAGAATGTAATGGATGTTTCCACAACCCGTTTCCCCGGCAGTTCTTTCTTCTCATGTTTCTACCTTTCCCTTCTTCTTAAACGTCAACTTCTTTCCCCCGCGGGCCCCCACGACCAGTTTCCTTTTGACCCGAGGACTCAAAACGGAGGACACGAAATTTTTTTGTTTTCCTCGGTCAATCGCCTAATTTCCAATTCGCCAACCTCAAATTTTTCCTTAACTGTTGGTAAAGTTGCTCGAGGAGGGTAAGGTGAAAGAACGAGCCCGGGCCCGCACCCAAAATGGATGGTTGTGGGGCATCTGGGGTTTTCATCACTAATTTTGTTTTCCTGGGGAATTTTCTCGGGCACACCGCTTTTAAAACCGGGGAATTTAATTTTACTGCACTTCATCACGTTGACTATCCCCTTGGGAAAAAAAAGACCCCCAATCCCCCAGGAGTGAGGAACTTCTTACCCCCGGGCATGGTGAAAATGGACTACCAAGATGGCGTTCCCACAATGCACCGCTGAGTCCCAGATTTTTTTCACAGGGTGCACACCGACCACTGAGACCCATTCTCTCTCGTGTAGGCCTACCAGCCCTCTCCCGCTTGATTTGAAGCCGCTAGAATTTATGCGTATAGATATGTCAAACACGGTATCTCCCATGACGTACATATACGACCGCGACAGTCAAAGGGTTAAACAACCACGGTGACATCACACATCCTTGTCTAAAGCCTACTTTTACTGGGAAATAATTTCCCTCTTTCCTACATACTCTAACTTGAGCCTCACTATCCTCGTAAAAACTCTTCACTGCTTTCAGTAACCTCCCTCCTATACCATACACCTGCAACATCTGCCACATTGCCCCCCTATCCACCCTGTCATACACCTTTTTCAAATCCATAAATGCCACAAAGACCTCTTTAGCCTTATATACGTCAAACACGGTACCTCGTAAGATGTATATATACAGCCGCGACAGTCAAAGGGTTAATTTACCTCATGAGTTGTCTTCCACCAGGGTGGGATGACTCAAAAAATGAAAACAAACTCACCAATAATTCAATGGCTGTTTTGCCAAAAAATGTGCATACATCACACTTCAAGTGACCCTCTGAGCTGCAGCTTCCCCACAATCATTTAAGGCACAAACACTGTGCTTCCCACCTTCATTTATGAATGCCAACTAATGTGTTTACTGCAGTCATTTGAATATTACATCAAGCTATAAAAGTCACTTGTCTCCACTCAGGTATAATGTGTTAACATTCTCAACAATGACATCTGCACTGCATCTAGTTTTCACTGCAATGTTTAAAGCCCATGCCTCTCAACTGTATAAAAGTTTTGGGTACCACAATGCTCTTGTACATTGCCTTTTTTGACTAAGTAGATAACTTACTTTCCTTGGCTGTCTCAACAACCTGTCTGCCTTTTATACCTCTCATCTATTCTGTTTTAATTTTTGTTTATTTCATATAACCAGTGGCGGCTCATCCATAGGAACTGCAGAGCTGCAGTCCCCCCAGATGCTCACTGCCAGACATATGACTTCATCAACCTTACGCTAAAATAATTTGCAACTGACAAACATATTACAGGAAAAATCTGTTGTATGTTGTTTTCAGTGTACAGTGGAACTTCAAATAACAAACTTAATCCGTTCCAGGAGTTAGTTCTGAATTCGAAAAGTCTGAAAATCGAAGCAATATTTCCCATAAGAAATAATGGAAATACAATTAATCCGTTCCAGAAACCCAAAAATATTAACAAAAAAATACATTTTATAGAGATTAATTATAGTTTTACATACACACAACAAATATAGTGTTCAATTATGTATTAATAAATTTAAATAAACATATAAAATAACATTTTATTGAAGATTGGTGATGGCATCTGGAAGATACGGAGGAGGAGAGAGGGAGTTGAGGTTAGTGTTTGGAAGGAGAATCCCCCTCCATGAGGACTTCAGGTATCAAAGCCCTCCCTGGGGTTACTTCCCTTCTCTGTCTTTTAATGCCACTAGGACCAGCTTGAGAGTCACTGGACCCCTGTCTCACAAAATAACTGTCCACAGTCCTCTGTTTCTGGTGCCTCTTTAAGATTTCCCTAAAATGGGACATGGTTCTGTCACTGAACTTGTTGCAAAGATGGCTTGTTTCAGCTTGCTCAGGGTGGTCTTCTCCACAAACATTTGGACATCATTCCACTTGGACATCATTCCACTTCTGTATTATTTCGTTCTTCACATCTATGGTGTTTCTCACTTTCTTTACCACAGGGGTACCACTAGAAAGTTTCTTTGGGCCCATTGTAGCTTATTTCACAGTCACACAAGCACTAAACACAATGAAATAATTGTAAAATGTTTCAATGAGAGTGCAGGTTAGTGTTCACTCAAGCAACAACAAAACCAGACTGGCTCACGGTGCTTGCGTGGGGACGCGGACAGAGTGGGCTGCCGGGCAGGTCTGGTACCCGGCGTTTTGAAAATAGGGGCGAGTTTGATAATAGGGACAAAGTTGGTTCGAAAAAAGGGTTCTATTTTCGAAGAGTTCGATAAGCGATACTTTGGAATTTTGAGGTTCCACTGTATTTATAAGTGAATTTTTTATTTTTTTGTTGAAACGAGGTAAAAAAATTATTTGAAAGAGAAATTTGATGCGGTACGATAGTACAGTGGACCCTTGGTTAATGATATTAATCCATTCCAGAGAGCTTGTCTGTGACCGATTCTGTCATTATCCAAATTAATTTTCCCATAAGACATAATGGAAATCCAATTAATCCATTCCCGACACTCAAAAGTATTAAACAAAATAATTTTTTACATGAAATATACATTTCCCTACACAGAAAACAATGAGACATGCACAATAAACAATACTAAAATAACACTTACCTTTTTTGAAGACTTATTGATGAGTGATGAGATGGGAGGAGGGGAGATGATGGAGGTATACTATTGTTTGGAAAGGGGAATCCCCTTCCATAAAGACTTCAGGTACCAAGTCCTTTTCTGGGGTTACTTCCCTTCTTTGTTTTTTTTAATGCCACTAGGACCAGCTTGAGAGTCACTGCACACCTGTGACACTAAATATCTGTCCAGAGAGCTCTGTTTCTGGCATCTCTTTAAAATTTCCCTAAAATGGGACACAACATTGTCATTGTAGATGTTGCCAGCACGACTTGCAACAGCTGTGTCAGGGTGATGTTCATCCATAAATGTTTCCACATATGAAAGCAGGAACACTGCAGCAGGCCTGTTGGCCCATACTAGGCAAGTCCTTCACAAACTATCCCACTAACAGAATCGTATTTGCCCAACCCAATTTTCAATGCTTCCCAAGCAATAAGCTTTGATAATTCTATTCACTCATGTGCAAGTCCCACTCAAATCAAATCATGTGTTGGGAAGTACCCTGGCTGGTATGTGGGGAATTACCCTGGCTGATGTGTGAGGAAGTACCCTGGCTGGTATGTGGGGAAGTACCCTGGCTGGTATTTGGGGAAGTACCCTGGCTTGTGTGGGGGAAGTACCCTGGATAGTATGTGGGGAAGTACTCTGGCTGATATGTGGGGAAGTTCCCTGACTGGTATGAGGGGAAGTACCCTGGCTGGTATGTGAGGAAGTACCCTGGCTGGTATTTGGGAAGTACATTGGCTGGTATGTGGGGGAGTTACCCTGGCTGGTGTGTGGGGAAGTACCCTGGCTGGTATGTGGGGAAGTACCCTGGCTGGTGTGTGGTGAAGTACCCTGGCTGGTATTTGGGGAAGTACCCTGGCTGGTGTGTGGGGAAGTACCCTGGCTGGTATGTGGGAAAGTACCCTTGCTGGTATGTGGAGAAGTACCCTGGCTGGTGTGTGGGAAAGTACCCTGACTGGTGTGTGGGGAAGTACCCTGACTGGTGTGAGGGGAAGTGCCCTGGCTGGTATGAGGGGAAGTACACTGGCTGGTGTGTGGGGAAGTACCCTGGCTGGTGTGTGGGGGAAGTACCCTGGCTGGTATGTGGGGGAAGTACCCTGGTTGGTATGTGGGGGAAGTACCCTGGTTGGTATGTGGGGGAAGTACCCTGGTTGGTATGTGGGGGAAGTACCCTGGCTGGTGTGTGGGGAAGTACGTTGGCTGGTATGTGGGGAAGTACCTTGGCTGGTGTACCACCATTACTACTACACTCGACTACCACCACTTTCGTATCTTTCTACAAGCTTTTTCTCGAATTCTATAGTGTTTCTCACTCTCTTTATCAAAGGGCTGGCACTAGAAGCTCTCTAGTGCCAGCTGAATGTGGCTTATTTAGCAGTTACAATCACTCCAAAATGGAATAATACAAAATGTATCGCATGTACGCGTGGAATTGTCCTCGCTGGCTTGTAAACAGTGGCACACTGGCTGTACATGGAGTGGCCGGGCTGCTCAGGCCGCGCGGACACGTTTGGTACGAATGACTTGAACCAAGTACTTTGTCGTTAACTGAGGCAGTATTTTGACGCAAAAACGTGTCATTATCTGATTTTTACATTATCCGATGACGTCGTTAACTGAGGGTCCACTGTATAGGTATTACTGGCACTACAAGCCGCCATTGCTTATGATCATTACAAAGAAGTTACAATAGATATATATTCCAGTTCCATAGAATTTACTGAACAAAATTAACAAAGAACTATCAGACATACCCTGGAAAACAGTCATGAACACCTTAAATCCTCACCAGTGCCTGAACACAGATGCATACAATGTCTGTATTAAATATGTAGTACCATTAAGGAAATATAGAAGATCAGATATAGAAAGCAAGCATAGAAGATTGTACAGAAGAAATAAAAAGGGTTACCGAATTGCTTAAATATGTGAACATGTCACAACAAAAGAAAGATAATCTTATCTGAGAGATCACTGAGACAGGGCAAAAACTGAAGACATTGTAGCAAACAGAAGTACAAAGGGATCAAAAGGCCATCTAGGTTATTGGGAGAAACCCAAAAAATGCAAAATTCAAGCTAAGAATTGCTTGTAGAATTAGACTCTTAACCCTTTCAGGGTTTCCGATGTACTAGTACGGCGTACGCACCAGTGTTATTGACATACTAGTACGCGTAAATTCTAGCGCCTTCAAATCTAGCGAGAGAAAGCTGGTAGGCCTACATATGAAAGAATGGGTCTATTTGGTCAGTGTGCACATATAAAAAAAATCCTGCAGCACACAGTGCGTAATGAGAAAAAAAAATCTTTGACTCTGTTTTTGGTTTAACCCTTTGACTGTCGCAACCCCAAATCCTGAGGTGTCTCCTGGTGTCGCAAAATTTAAAAAAAAAAAAATTATTTTTTCTTATGAAATGATAGAGAATCTTTTCCCGATTGTAATGACACCAAAAAAAACGAAATTTGATGGAAAACTGACGGAATTATGCTCTCGCGAAGTTAGCGACCTCGGCGCTGTTTACAAATCGGCGATTTCGCCCACTTTGAGCCCTATTTTCGGCTAATTCCATTGTTCCAGTCGCTCAAACTCATAGCTATTTCTTTAGAACTTCATTTTTTCTATCGATTGAATACAAGAAACTGCCCATTTACTGATTTCAACTACCTAATAATGTGGTCAGAAATTTGCAATTTGGCCAATTTCACGAAAACTAAAAAATATGACAATTTCAAAATAAGGTCCAGAATGAACAATGCAGACATTCCTGGCTCTAAAATAACGTTTTCTTTGTTCATCAGTCACGTCTCCAGGCCCTTCTGATATTACTCTTGCTTTCTATTTTGAATTTTTATTCAAACAAAAAATATTAGACTTACTATTATGCAGACTACTGCAATGCTGTAATAACTGTATAAATAACATCAACCCATTCATGACTGCATATTAGAATGGCTAGTTGGACATTTATTGGACAAAGGCATCATTTGTTTACTTTTGAACATTGGCAAAAATCAAACATTTCCCCTACTTTGAGCTCCATTTCTAGGTTCTTTTTATAGTAAAATCAATCAAAATCACCTCTATTTCTGTAATATGTTTTCCATTCTATCAAATGAGACCAAGAAAACGAGAATACAACCATAAATACTATACGAAAATAGACCACAAAGTCGGCATTTTAATTAAAAAAACGGTCGGAGTTTTTTTTTTCTCATTATGCACTGCGTGCTCCAGGATTTTTTTATATGGTGCACACTGACCACACAGACCCATTCTCTCACATGTGGGCCTACCAGCTTTCTCCTGCTTGATTTGAAGCCGCTAGAATTTATGAGTATATATACGTCAAACACGGCACCTCGTAAAACGTATATACAGTGGACCCCCGCATAGCGACCTTAATCCGTGCAAGAGGGCTGGCTGTTATGCGAAATGTTCGGTATGCGAATGAATTTTCCCCATAAGAAATAATGGAAATCAAATTAATCCGTGCAAGACACCCAAAAGTTTGAAAAAAAAAATTTTACCACGTGAAATATACATTTTCCTACACACAAAGAGAAGGATACATGCACAATAGTAGAGTAGTACATGCACAATATATATTGTGCATCTACTACTCTACTAAATGAAGAATAAATGACACTTACCTTTATTGAAGATGCAGCAATGACTGATGAGACACTGTGTCCTGGAGTGCCTTTTCCTCCTGAGTACTGTAGGTCCTGTTTGGCATTTTCTTCCAGAAAAAGCCTTATCACACTGTGTATGCCACTACGATTCTTAAATCTCTAAAACCCAAAACCTTTGCTGGCTCTAAATTCACCAATATGAGCACTATTTTCCAGGCATTTTCCCTGTTCACCTGGGTGTTAGTCGACTGAGTGGGTTGCATCCGGGGAGACAAGTTTAAAAGGACCCCAATGGAAATAAGTTAGACATCTTCGATGACACTGACTTTTTTGGGCTATCCGGGGTGGCAAATCCATGGGGTTAATTGTTTCTTGGTATTCTCAATAAGCCACACCAACAAGGGTGCAACAGCAGCAGCAGCAGCAGCTAAACGTGGTACAGCACAACAGAAGATGCTACAGCAGCAGCAGATGATGCTAAAAGCAGCAACTGACGATGTTAAAAGCAGCAGCAGACGATGCTACAGCAGCAGCACAGCTGACGGTGGTTAGAGCAGCAACAGACGATGCTACAGCAGCAACAGACGATGCTACAGCAGCAACAGACGATGCTACAGCAGCAGCAGACGATGCTACAGCAGCAACTGACGATGTTACAGCAGCAGCAGACGATGCTACAGCAGCAGCAGCAGCAGACGATGCTACAGCACAGCAGCAGCTGACAGTGGTACAAGCAGCAACAGACGATGCTACAGCAGCAACAAAACGATGCTACAGCAGCAGCAGACGATGCTACAGCAGCAACTGACGATGTTACAGCAGCAGCAGACGATGCTACAGCAGCAGCAGCAGCAGACGATGCTACAGCAGCAGCAGCAGCTGACGGTGGTACAGCAGCAACAGACGATGCTACAGCAGCAACAGACGATGCTACAGCAGCAACAGACAATGCTACAGCAGCAGCAGACGATGCTACAGCAGCAGCAGACGATGCTACAGCAGCAGAAAGGACGATGCTACAGCAGCAGCAGACGATGCTACAGCAGCAGCAGACGATGCTACGCAGCACAGACGAGCTACAGCAGCAGCAGATGATGCTACAGCAGCACAGAGGGTTTACTACAGCAGCAGGAGCAGCTGACGGGGGTACAGCAGCAGCAGCTGACTGCGGGCAGCAGCTGACGTGATACAGCAGCAGCAGCAGCTGTACCCCAATAGTGCGATGGTTGATTGGGGTTTTTATTTATACAACCTGGCCAGCTCGGAGACACGCACTCCACTTTCATACTTATCAATGATTTTTTTCTTCATCTCCATAGAAATTCTCACCCTTATTGCTGTAGGGTTGGCACTAGAAGCTTTCTTGGGGCCCATGGTCACTTATTTTCCAGAAAAAAATCACCAAGAACACTGTAATAATACAAAATGTTCCGATTGTATGCTTGGATGTTACCGCGGAGGCTGGCTGGTAAACAATGCCACCGGCGGAACATGTGAGTGTGGCTCAGGCCGCACATTGGACGCGTCTCGGACGAAGGGCGCTGAGCGGGTTTTTGGGCGGTATGCGAGGCAAAATTTTAGCGATCAAAGCGTCCGGTATGCGGATTGTCCGTTATGCAAGGCGTCCGGTATGCGGGGGTCCACTGTATATGGCCGCGACAGTCAAAGGGTTAAAACGGCAACTTTGCACTGTACGTATATTCGTATGGTGTTAATGGTTGTATTCTAGTTTTCCTGATCTCATTTTATAGAATGCAGAAACATTTTTCATTCCATCAGAAGGTCACAAAGACCAACTAATTCATGTAAGTATAATTTCATAAAATTTAAAAAAGAAATTGAAAGCTTGCTCTCTCACTCAGCACTTGAACCACATTCATGAAATTCCCTATTTATAAAAAAGTGCAAAGCACCACTATGAAATATTAATTACAAAGATGGACACTAGTATGCCTATACATTTTGGGCAGACTAATCCTAATTCTTACTCTGTATTGACACAGGTTATGGAGCAGTACATTTTAATATACCTTATTCCATATTGATATAAAAGTTAGGTAACTGAAGTGATTAATTAAATTTATAATAGTGAGATAGTACAAAACCTATAACAATATTACAATTAGTAAATTTAGTAATGGGAATGGTTTTGACTTGGCATGATACACTGTTTCTATTGAAGCTCCTATGCTGAGAGAGTATCTTAGGCAAACTTAGGACTAACTTAAGATTTATTAGGTAATAGCTGTATTAGAAATTTTATGTTTACAGTCATTTGGGTGAGTGTAAGTGTAAATTAGGGGGAATTACAGATAACGAGAGTAAGTCTACAAATAGGAGAATAGGCGATTTTCATATACAGTGGAACCTCTACTTGCGAGTTTAATCCATTCCGTGACCTTGCTCGTTTGCAGAGTCAGTTTTCCTCATTAAAATTAATTGAAATGCAATTACACCTACCATCCGACTTAGGACCGAGTTCGGTTCCGAGCAACCGGTCGTAAGTTGAAATGGTCGTAAGTCGAACTTTACTACTGAATATCAACAAAACATTTTTGTAATGACTTTTTTTTATTGTTTTATTTTGGTATTTCATGTTTTACTTTACTTTTTATGCTGTTAGTACTGTATTTTATACTGTAAGGTTTAGGATAAACACTGTGTACAACACAAATAGTTGTTTATTTCCCAGAAATTTGGCATAAAAAACACGGTCATAAGTCGAGTGGTCGTAAGTCGAGTGGGTCGTAAGAAGTACATATTTTGTCTGGAGACCAGACAAAATATGTACTTCTTGAATAATTTTGCTAATATCATCTATATGGCTTATTTATCTATCACAGTTCATCTAATATGACATAAACAATATAAATAACATAGAAACCTGATATATACTGTAGAATGAATAAAATATGTCATTATGTAACAGGTGGAGGTGGCCACAACCGCTCCCTCTTTGTTGTGGTAAACACTGCCATCTAATGATGGCCTTTTGAAGCTGTCTCTTATTATAATTATTATCTTATAGTACATTATTATTTTATATGTATTATTATTATATGTATTATGTTATTATTATTGTATTATATTATTATTATTATATTATTAAGGTGATGAGGATATCAAATGATTTAGATAAAGAAAAATTGGATATCAAATTGAAGAGGAGGAGTATGGGAGAAATGAATGTTTTCAGATACAGTGACCCTCACCTAACGATATTAATCCATTCCTGAGAGCTCATCGTTAGCCGAATTAATTTTCCCTATAAGAAATAATGGAAATCAAATTAATCCATTCCTGACACCCCAGACATGCACAATTACTACTCTACTAAATAAAGAATACATGACACTTAACTTTATTGAAGATCTGGTGATGAATGACGGGATTGGAGGAGGGGAGATGGTGGAAGTTGTTATTGTTTGGAAGGGGAGTCCCCTTCCATGAGGACTTGACGTAGCAAGTCCTTTTCCAGGGTTAGTTTCCTTCTTCTTTTAACCCTTTGACTGTTTCGGTCATATATATACATCTTACGAGCCACCGTGTTTGACGTATATATTCTCATGAATTCTAGCGGCTTCAAATCAAGCAGGAGAAAGCTGGTAGGCCCACATGTGAGAGAATGGGTCTGTGTGGTCAGTGTGCACCATATAAAAGAAATCCTGGAGCACGCAGTGCATAACGAGAAAAAAACTCCTACCGGTTTTTTAATTAAAATGCCGACTTTGTGGTCTATTTTCGTATAGTATTTATGGTTGTATTATCGTTTACTTGGTCTCATTTGATAGAATGGAAAACATATTATAGAAATACAGGTGATTTTGACTGGTTTTACTATAAAAGAACCTGGAAATGGAGATCAAAGTAGGGGAAATGTTTGATTTTTGCCAATGTTCAAAAGCAAACAAATGATGTCATTGTCCAATAAATGTCCAACTAGCCATTCTAATATGCAGTCATGAATTGGTTGACATTATTTGTACAACTATTACAATATTGCAGTAGTCTGCATAACAGTAAATCTTCTATTTTTTGTTTGAATAAAAATTCAAAATAGAAAGCAAGAGTAATATCAGAGGGGCCTGGAGACGTGACTGATGAACAAAGAAAATGTTATTTTAGAGCCAGGAATGTCTGCATTGTTCATTCTGGACCTTATTTTGAAATTGTCATATTTTGTATTTTTCATGAAATTGGCCAAATTGAAAATTTCTGACCACGTTATTGGGTAGTTAAAATCGGTAAATGGGCAGTTTCTTGTACTCAGTCGATAGAAAATATGGAGTTCTAAAGAAATAGCTATGAGTTTGGTCGACTGGAACAATGGAATTAGCTGAAAATAGGGCTCAAAGTGGGGAAAATCGCTGATTTGTAAATATCGCCGAGGTCGCTAACTTCGCGAGAGCATAATTCCGTCAGTTTTTCATCAAATTTCATTTTTTTTGGTGTTATTACAATTGGGAAAAAGAATCTCTATCATTTCATAAGAAATTTTTTTTTTTTTTTTTTTAATTTGCGACACCAGAAGACACCTCAGGATTGGGGGTTGCGACAGTCTAAGGGTTAATTTGATTTTCATTATTTCTTATGGGAAATATTGCTTTGACTTTCTGCCGTTTAGGGTTTAGGCCAAGCTTCTAGAACGTGTAATGGCTGAAACTCGGGGTTCCACTGTATATTGAACCCCACTTCAAAACTATATCTCCACCTATTTTTAGCATTAGTGTCTTGATCCCATCAATTCCAGCTACTTTACCCTCTTTCATGCTACTCACAACCTCATGCACCACTCCCACACTTACATCTGGCTCTTCCTCACTTCTAAAGAGTGTTATACATCCCCATCTACTGCAAGAAATCACTTCCTTCTTCCTTTCTTCAGCATTCAAGACCTCAGTATATACCCTCCATCTTCTCGATACCTTCCTCCCATCTAATGGCTCCCCTCATGTTTTTAACAATTAAATCCATTTGTTCCATAGCCTTTCTCAACTTGTTCATCTCATTCCAAAACTTTTTCTTATTCTCAGCAAAAATTTTTAATAAAATCTCTTCCACTTTCTCATTAGTTCTGTGTTTGCACTTCCTCGCCACTCTTTTGCTCTCTATATATGTACTCCTCCATGCCAACTTTTTCTTCCTTACCATCTTGTATGTCGTCATTCCACCAATTGCTTTTCTTCCTTCCTGCACTTGTGTTCCATAACACAAGTGCAGTGTTAGAGTGCTTCACACTCTAACACTGACTTCTAAAATCAGCTCCATACATTCTCTGCCTCATCCTCATTATGTGTACTCTATCTAACCCACTTTTCAGTAGTTGCCTATCAGAATAATAATAATAATAATACACTACATGATTTAGTATTTAAAAGGTCAACAATAAGATGTAGATCATTTTTCACAGACTTAAACTAGAAATAAAACCTTAATAGTCATTTAAAGAATTATTTTTTTTACTCTTTTTTTTTTTTTTTTTTTTTTTTTTTGCAGGCTTCAGATTTGGAAGCAGTTACGTGGTCTCAAGGCTACATACCATCCTTTAGAAGGTCTTAGACATTGTTATTTAGGCTCACACTTACCATTTGAAGTATCAGTGATGCCATTATTACCCTGTGCTAGCATCTTGCACACTGACAGAGTCAGTGGTACCACCTCAGAAGAGCAGGTGGTGAGGGTAAACTCTTTCATCAAAGGCCACGTGAAGTCACTGAGAGACAAACTGTACATCTTCGATTCTTTTATTGGTAAAGATGTGACCATAATTTCATCAGGACCCTGTGTTGTTTTAGGGTTTCAGCTGCAAGGTTGTAATATATCTGTAAATTTGCCAAGTGGACATGTTTGGCAACTGTATCCATGCGATACAGGTGATGTAATTACATGTCATGGATTGAGTGATAATTTATTAATGTTACAACATGATGTAATGGCAAGTATCTTTAGCACTAAGTGGTCAGTATTTTTGGCCAGAACTAGACTGGATAAGGAAGATTTGTGGCCAAATGTTGAGAGCCAGTATCAGACTTTGTTAACAGCAAAACTGTTTGTTGTGGATTGTCCTGTTGAGAAACAAATACAGATACTTACGACTTTGATCGCAAGCATTACTGACAATCAGATTCAGTTAGAATGGATGTCAAAAGTTGAGGAGTGGAAAAGATGCTCTCGAGTCTCACTTTTTGAAGTTGCTTATAAATGTAACCTCAAGAGAATAATTAAAATGCGTGAAGGTGTCTATCTTAGAACTGTGAAACAGTTCATCCGAGACACTGCTAATGAAGTTGCTGGAAAGTCTCTCCTTCCTTACTTCAGTTACATAGTGGCAAGTAAGTAACAGTTGTTTTTTTACACGCGTAAGTTGAAATTACAGGCATTTCAAACCCTCCGTATCTAAGGTTCCACACTAACAACTATCCACAACACTCACCTAAAACCTAGGTATCTATTTACAGCTGTGTAAACAAGGACAACAGATATTAGGGAATATGCCTAATGCCTCTTCCTACCCAGGATCAAGCCTGGGTACTTTGATTGTGAACTGAAGCCACTACCATTGAGCTATGAGGAACTTTTTTGTGGAATATATTTGTATTTTGTTTTAACGAACATGTCTTCGTTACGAAGACATGTTCATTAAGATAAAATACTGGATAAAGTAATACAGTGGACTCCCGGTATTTGATGGCATCGGTATTCGATAAATCCGGTATTCGATGCATTTTAACGCAAAAATTTCGCCTCGGTATCCAATCGAAAACCCGGTATTCGATGCGATTCATATGAGACGTGTCCATGTGTGGCCTGAACTGCCCGTGTGTGCCAGTGTTTACAAGCCAGCCAGTGTGCGCACATCAAATTCAAATTCAAATTCAAAGTTTATTCTCTATAAAGATTACAACGTTGAATTTACAGAATTTGGTTGTTGTGTGGTTTACATGTAGTTAAATAATGATTACAGAGTGTACCACTAAAATGCCTAGCATGGCTAGGCATTTTGGGCAGACTTAGTTTAATTCTTTATTTTAAAATATTACAAATTATGAGGTAAGTTGGTATTATGGCTAAGTGACTAAATACTAGTTTGTGAGTTTAGTAATGTGAATGCTTTTGTTTTGGCACAGTACATAGTTTCAGTATTGGAGTATCATAGGATTCATTATTTTAAGATTGAGATTAATATTTCTGTTTATGGTCAAATGGGTGAGTGAGTGTAAGTGTGAACCACCAGGTGGTATTCGTGTAGTTAGTTGATGGGGTTTATCAGGGAGATAAGATGTTTTCTAATGGTAGTTTTGAAGGTGATGAATGTGTCTGCAGTTCTAGAGTTCTCAGGTAGGGTGTTCCAGATTTTAGGGCCTTTGACATACATTGAATTTTTGTAAAGGTTTAGTCGGACATGGGGAATGTCGTAGAGATGTTTGTGTCTGGTGTTATGCCTGTGGGTTCTGTCACAACTATCAAGAAAGCGTTTTAGGTCAAGGTTGATATTGGAGTTTAAGGTCCTGTAGATGTAGATTGCACAGTAGTAAGTGTGGATGTACTGAACAGGGAATAAGTTTAGATAAGATAAGATAAGATTTCGTTCAGATTTTTAACCCCAGAGGGTTAGCCACCCAGGATAACCCAAGAAAGTCAGTGCGTCATCGAGGACTGTCTAACTTATTTCCATTGGGGTCCTTAATCTTGTCCCCCAGGATGCGACCCACACCAGTCGACTAACACCCAGGTACCTATTTGCTGCTAGGTGAACAGGACAACAGGTGTAAGGAAACGTGTCGAAATGTTTCCACCCACCGGGAATCGAACCCGGACCCTCCGTGTGTGAAGCGGGAACTTTAGCCACCAGGCCACCGGGCCTCGGGGGGGTGTGTTGCCAGGGATGGGATTTAGTGATTATTCTTACTGCAGCTTTTTGTTGGGTTATTATTGGCTTTAGGTGTGTTGCTGCAGTTGATCCCCAAGCACAAATAGCATAGGTGAGGTATGGATAAATAAGTGAGTGGTATAGTATGAGAAGGGCATTTTGCGGCACGTAGTATCGAGAGGATCCCAACTGTTTTGGATACTTTTTTGGTTATGTGTTGGATATGGGTGCTGAAATTCAGGTTGTTGTCAAGGTATAGGCCTAGGAATTTGCCCTCATTATGTCTGGTGATTAGAGTGTTGTCGATCTTAATGTTAATTTGTGCATCTCCTGCTCTGCTACCAAACATAATATAGTAGGTTTTGTCAGTGTTAAGCGTAAGTTTATTGGCTGTCATCCAAGTCGATATTTTGATAAGCTCCTCGTTAACAATGGTGTTGAGGGTGGCAAGATTAGGGTGAGAGATGACATAAGTCGTGTCGTCAGCAAAGAGAATGGGTTTCAGGTGTTGGGATACGTTTGGAAGATCATTGATGTATATGAGGAAGAGCAGGGGACCAAGGACACTTCCCTGCGGAACTCCAGTATCAAGTGGCCGTGTTGTTGATGCTGTGTCTTTAATGGTAACATACTGATACCTATTAGTAAGGTAAGATTTGAAATAAGCAAGCGCATGGCCTCTTATACCATAATCGTAGGATGTCGTGGTCTACTGTGTCAAAAGCTTTTCTTAGGTCAATAAAAATTCCTAGTGGATATTCCTTATTTTCCAATGCTGTGTAAAGCAGATCTAGCATTTTTATGATTGCATCAATAGTGCTTTTATTTTTCCTAAATCCAAATTGGCAGGGGTTGAGTATGTTTTGTGGTGTTATAAATGAATATAGTGTCCTGTGCACGAGTTTCTCAAAGATTTTGGATAGCAATGGTAAGTTTGATATTGGCCTATAGTTGTTTAAGTCTGTAGGGTCACCACCTTTATGCATTGGTGTAACCCTTGCCATCTTGAGTAGTTTCGGGAAGGTGCTAGTTTCTAGTGACTTGTTAAAAAGTAATGAAATAGCATGCGAAAGGATATGGGCCACTCGCTTGTACAGTAATGGTGGGACATTAGACAGATTCCCTGAGTTGTTTTTAAGTGACTTTATAATCTCGGTGACTTCCGAGGGCTCAGTTGGTGCAAGACAGAAGGAATTGGGAAATTCCCATCTAGGTAGTCCCCGGCATGGGCATTAGTATGTGGGATTTTATTGGCGAGATTAGATCCTATGGTTGAGAAGAAGTCATTTATCTTGTTAGCTGTGTCAGTGGGATGTAGTGGTGTTTCATTAGGTTTAGTTAGGACAATATTCTTGTTTTTTTTCAGTTTGTGGGTCCCTAGAATCTGAGAGAGTGTTTTCCAGGTCTTTTTTATATCTCCTCTAGTGTCTGTGAATCTACTGGAGTAGTATAGTTGTTTGGCTTTCTTTATTACTTTGGTGAGAACTGATGAATAGTGTTTAAGAATATCTTTGTGTGTTAAGCCCTGTCTATTGCTTTTCATATTGGTGTTTCTTGTCAATGGATTTCAGAATGGTGCTGGTTAGCCATGGGCAACCAAGCCGTTTGTTTGTGATCTGTTTCGTTTTTATAGGACAATGTTTGTTGTATAGTCTAAGTAATTTGTTAAGAAAAATGTCTGTCCAGTCATCAATACCATTGGCCTTGGAGAATTCTGTAGGCCAGTCAACAATCTCTAGGTCAGTTGTGAACTTCCTTATTGAGGCCTCGTCATGGAGTCTAAATGAGACTTTGTTGTATTCAAGTGGTGGTTTATTAATGTTTGTCAGGAGGAAGGTAGGGTAGTGGTCTGTAGTGCTATCTGTGATTATCCCTGATTTAAGGGGGGCTAGTATATTGGTCCATATGTGGTCTATTATGGTTGCACTTGTCTCAGTGAGCTGGTTGGTTTAATTATTGTTGGTATGAGAAGTGTGTTCATATTGTTGATGAAATCAGTTACAGGCTGATCATCTAGTAAGCCAAGGTTGATATTGAAGTCTCCAGCTAAGAGAAGGTGGTGCTTATTCATTTGTCTGTTTGTTATCAGTGACTTTAATTTCTCACTGAAATTTGGGATGTTTGTGTGAGGTATCCGGTAAATGGCACTGATTGTTATAGGTGTCTTAAGGTTTTTTACAGTAAAATTAGCAAAAATGTATTCCCCATATTCATCACTAAAGCAAGTGGTGCTAATACAAGATAATTGGTTAGAGTAATAGATTGCAATACCACCCCCAACTTGGTTTGGTCTGCAGTTGTGAATTGCTGTGTATCCTGGTAGAGGGTAGATATCTATTGTGTCCTGCTTAAGCCAGGTCTCAGTAAGAATAATGCAGGAGAAGGGTATCTTTAGTGATTCAAGGAGTGCCAGGAGGTCATCATAGTGTTTGCTTAAGGACCTGATGTTGTAGTTAAGTACTGATAGGCTTTTAGCATTGTTTAGGATAGTGCTGGCTTGTGATGCTGTGTAATAAAGGCAGTTACTTTCCAATAGGTTTTGATTGGGTGTCAGATTATGGAGGTTTAGATCAGGGTCAATGTGATCAATCATCTTCTAGGTTTAAATTATGGTTATTTATATCCTGAGTTATGTGTTTAGTTCTAGTACTGATACCTGTAGTGGTGGGAAGCTTGGATAAGTATATAGCTAGAGTATTTTAGTCATATAGAGTATAGTCACTACTACACATAATGAAGTTGATGTTGTCTATGTGTTGTGCTGGAATGAACTAAAGTACAACTAGGTATAAACTAGTAATATAAAAATACAAATTTAAAATAGAACAAGACTCTCACTTGTAATTGCACTAAGGTCTAATATAATGACTTTTGTGGAGTCTATGTTTTGAGCTAGAATGAGCTATAGTACAACTAGATTTAATCTAATAATATAAAAATACAAATTAAAAATAGCACCAGTCTCTCACTAGTAATTGCAATATTGTCTAATATAATGAATTTGGTATTGACTATAGTACAACTGAGTTTAATCTAATAATATAAAAAAGGCACAAGACTTCAATTGTAATTGCACTAAGGTGTTATATAAGTTGTTTACAAGAATTAGAGTATAACTAGATTTAAATTGACAAGACAAAATATACAAGTTAAGGTAGCAAAAGAATAAAAAAAGTAGAAAAAAAAAAAAGATACATGAGGTAGTTGGTACTAGTTAGCAAAAGATAGTTAAGGGCCTTGAACAATAATATAATTGAAATATATACTAATTGCACACACAATGTAGTCACTAAGATATGAAAACAATCTTAGAGTAGGAATTATAATATAAACTTATAATATAAAAATACAAATTGAAATGGTACTTGCAATTGCACTAGAGTCTGGTATAGGTTGTTGACAAGATCAAGAGTATAACTAGATTTAAATTGACAAAATAAAATTCACAATTAAAGTACCAAA